CGATGTCTCCCTTCACCCACTTTTCTGTTGTCTGTCCCCCTGGGAGGGGGTTATATGTAGATCATTGTGATCGGTTCCCCTTTCTCCCCCTACCTTCCCCTTACCTTCCTGGTATCGCTGCTCTCATTATTAGTCCTGAAGGGTTTATCGCTCCTGGATTCCCTGTGTTTCCAGCTCTTATTTGTACCCATGTGCATGCTCTAGTCTAGCTGGATTTGTAAGGTAGAATTGGGGTCATGAGATTGGGGTGGAAGGGTGGAGGAAGCATTAAAGAACTAGAGAAAAGTTATATGTTTCGTCGGTGCTATACTGCACCCTGACTGGCTCCTCTCTTCCTATGACCCTTGTAAGGGGATGTCTAATTATCTACAGATGTGCTTTGGGTCTCCACTCCGTGCTCCTCCTCATTCACATTGATATGATATTTTGTTCTGGGTCTTTGATGGTTGACACCTGATCCCATCGACACCTCATGATTACGCAGGCTGCTGTGCTTCTTCCATGTGGACTTAGTTGCTTCTTAGCTAGATGACAGCTTGTTTATCTTCAAGCCTTTAAGACCCAAGACACTATATCTTTTGATAGCCGGACACCATCAGCTTTCTTCGCCACACTTGCTTATGCACCCATTTTGCCAAAGACCTTCTCTTATTTGGTGATTGGTGCCCCTGCCACTCTAGGGCAATAGCAGCATAGCAGACTGTGAGCAAACTCACCCTTGCAGACTGCACACAAGCCTTCTCCCCAGGGCCCTACCTGAAAGGGCTATGCCACTGCCTCACTGAAATGGAACGCTCCTTAAAGAAAATTTAAGGAACTTGTAGCTGGCAATATACCTGGTATAAAAAATTATAATAAAATAAGTTCAAAATTTTACTACGTCATTGATCAGACCCCTTGGAAAAAGTGGGATCAGTTACTATAACTAATTTTCCACCAAAAACCGAGACTCTGAATGCCCTTCCAACAGTGATCAATGAGCCATATCTCGAAGAATTAGACCCTTATTCAAGGGCACTTAAATGCATTTTCAGATTTAGACCTATTATTCAGTGGTTTTTTTCCCAGTAAATTCTCTCCCTACACAAAGACAAGAGCTGTCCAATCAGAAATGTGTATTATGACAGAGGAGAAAAGACACAGAAACTAAAGCAATTTGTTAAGGCTATCTTGTGTCTTCTATCCAATAGGCAATAAAGGGAACACAGAGGAAAGGAAACGAAGATATGAGCTGCTTGTATACTATAGCTATATTTGTTCTTAGGTACCATTGTGTCGATGACCCTAACAGTGTCCCTGTGTACAGCAGAAGGAAACATGCCTGTTCCTGTGACATCCTCATGATTGTTCTTATGTTAGGCCTACTTTTGCAGCTACTGTCCCAATTCAACTTGTTAAGGGTCTTCCTACTGTGCTGTTGGGGTTTTTTTTTGCCCCTCTACTTTTCCAAACATGATGTCTTTCTCCAGGGACTGTTCTCTCCTGGAAACAAGTCCAAAGTACATGAGACTAATTCTAGCTATCTTTGCCTCTAAGAAGCATTCTGGCTATACCACATCCAAGACGAATTTGTTTGTTCTTTTGGCAGTCCATGATGCTTTGAATATTCTTCACCAGCATCATAATTCAAATGCATCTGTTTTTCTTTGATTTTCCTTATTCAATGTCCAACTTTCACATACATAGAATTGAGAATACCATGGCTTGAGTCAGATACACTTTAGTCCTCAAAGTGACCTCTTTGCTTTTCAAAACTTGAAAAGCGAGGTCTTGTGCAGCAGATTTACCCAATGCAATGCATCATTTGATCTCTTGACGGCTGTTTCCATGAGCATTGAGGATATATTCATATATATACATATATATGTCGTTTCTAGGTGCCCCTGACTCTCTGTACAACAGAACAAAGAACAGCCCAGTCTTGTGCCTGTCTCACAATCATTGTTGTTTGAGTGAGCCCATTGTTGCAGCCACTATGCCAATCCATCTCATCAAGGGTTTTCCTCTTTTTTGCTGACCCTCTTCTTTACCAAGCATGATGTTTTCTTCCAGTGACTAGCTTCTCCTGAAAACAATTCCGAAGTACATGAGAATAAGTCTCTCCATTTTCATTTCCAAGGAGCATCCTGGCTGCACCTCCTCTAAGATCCATTTGTTTGTTTTTCTAACAGTACGTGGCACTTTCAAGTACCATAATTCAAAGGCATAAATTGTGTTCTAATAGCCCTTGTTCATAGTCCAACTTTCACATGGTTACGATGGGAAATACCATGGGTTAGGTCAGGCCACCATAGTCCTCAAAGTGACATCTTTGCTCTTTAACACTTTGAAGAGGTCATTTGCTGATTGGCCCAAATATAGATAAATAGAGACGTTTTTCATTATCTTTTCCATTTGCCATGAAATTGGGGGGGGGGGGACTTTGTGTATATACAGTTCTAGTATTTCATTTTGAAGGAGCCTTGATGGCACAATGACTAAGTACTTTGCTGCTAACCAAAAAAAGAGCAGCTCAAACCCATCAGCTGCTTCATGTGAGAAAGACCTGGTGGCCCACACCTGTAAAGATTATGGCCTATGAAACCCTAGGGTGCTGTTTTACTCTGTCTGGAATTGGAATTGACTCCACAGCACACAACAACAATATACACAAGTTTATCAGCTAGGAGAAGCATATGGTTTTTTCTGTAATTGAACATTTAAAATTTTAAAAATGGAAAAGAAAACAAACAGGGAACACTGTAGAATTCATCTTGGAGAGGTAAGTCTGCAGAGATGATCCTAAGAAGGGCAATCTAGTCAATTTCTGGTTCTAATGCTATAGTTCTCAACATGAGATTATCTCCACCACCACCACCACCCACCCCCCCATCTCTGACAGGGACATTTAACAGTGCCAGGAGACATTTTTGATTCCCCCAACTCGTGGGTGCTATTGGCATCTAGTGGGTGGGAGTCAGAGATGCTCCATCCTACAGTGCATAGAAAAAACACCCCCCTCCAAAAAAGAATAAAATAAGCCTCAAATATCAATAATACCTCTGTTGAGAAAGCTTACAGATCCTAGGTTGGAATCTCAGGGTTTGAAATAAAGTTGTATGAGTTTAGGCACAAATTTTAAATGCACTGATTAATAATAACTAGTTCAGGTAATTTTTGTAAACACAATATACTGTATGTTTAGTCTCTAGCACAATATCTGACCCCTAGTAGCTAATAATGAGCTTGTTGTTGTTGCTATGTTTATAGTCA